ATATATATAAAATATATATATATATATATATATATATATATATATATATAAAAGATATATATAACTAATAAATACTTTTTTTATTATTGTTATTATTTTTATTATTTTTTTTACATATTTTTAGAAACTAAAAAAAATGGTCATTGTAGTTCATATTTGTATTTATACACATTGGTAAATAACGACAAAATTTGTATTTATGGGTGATATAAGTTATTCTTTTATTTTAACATATACATGTCTTTATTCAGTTAGTGTGTTGGTTTACCTGTAGATTCCTTTTCTTTTGAATCTGTATCAGCGTGATCTGCATCTGAAATAGTATACAACGTATTTAAATTGATCGACTCATGATGCAATCTGTCTGATTTGTCACGTTTGTTTCTGTGATTTCTCATACCTGTGCTGTCCTCCGCTGATGGTTTCTCATTGTTCTCATCTGCAGCAGATAAAGGAAAGTCCTTGATTGAGAGTATATTGCACACATGTGCATTCAGTATCTTATGAAAATAGATATTTGGCTTTTACCCACCTGAATCGCTTGTCTTCTGCTGCGATGCATCTGTTTCTGTATTAGTGTCTGTGTCAGTATCTGTTGTGTCTGGTAAAGAAATTTAAATCAAATATATTGCATAACAAATATATGTTTTTGCAATTTGCACCTGTTATTGTTAGGAAATTATATATCAGAATGGGATGCAATTTGGATTTGATGTTGATTCACTTTGGATTTTATGTGTTTTAATCAGATAGTCTTTACAAAAAATATTTGTTAATATATTGGTATTTATATGGAGATCATACATGGAGAGTAAAATGTTTAAGGATGTTTTTTTTAAACAAGTGAGGGATGCATTTTCATATTTGTACGAGATGACCCATTGTTGTTTTGTGTTCAAGAAACTGATGCACAGGTTATGTTGTACCTATTGAATCTGGGCCGCTGGTGGCTTCATCCAGGCTTTTGTCACCTGAAATGTGTCGAGCTGTTAGATTGAGCAATACTTCACTCAAATATATCTCAAACAATAGTGAAGGCCATGAGATGAGTCTTACTGTTAGTATCTGATGTGTCAGGAGCACCATCAACCTCTTTAAAGAAAGAACATTTGTAGAAAAGACAATTATGCAAGGGTAGAGTTTATTTCTTTATGTTGGCGTCATTCCTAATGTCATTATAAAGTGGTTTTCATGCCTTAGAATGACTGCTAATGTGTTAACATGCAAGTGTAGGATATGCAGGTTTGTTTCCGCAACTGTTTATCTCACAATTCTGACTTTACTTTTTTTTTTTTTTATATGAGAAATAAAATCTGAAGTGCTAGAGATACAAACTCGCAATTCTGAGAAGAAAAGAACTGTGAGATGTAAACGTGTAATTGCAAGAAAGTCACAATTGTAAAATAAGTCGCAATTACCTTATGTTATTTTTTCAGACTTGTGAGTTGTAAACTCAGAGTTCGGAGAAAGGAAGTCAGAATTATGAAATAAAATGGTGCAATTACCTTATTTGTTTCTTATTCTTTTGCATTTTATTATTTTTTTTAAATTTAAATAAAAAAAATACAATTGCAAGATGTAAGCAAAATGTAAAATTTTGAGGGCAAATGTCAGAAATGTGAGATGTAAACTTGCAATTACAAGATATAAACTCACTATTCTGAGGAAAAAAGTTAGAATTAAGAGATATAAACTTGCAATTGTGAGAAAAAAGAAAGAATTGTGAGATAAAAAGTTGCGGAAATGATCTTCAATAGTAGGCCTTATTTTCTGTATAATCAAAATGACTAATCACAAAAATGTAATCACTTTATGGAGTTTATATTGGTACACTAGACCAAACATCACCGTGCTTTTAATAAATTAATTGATTTTCATTCATGTTGAATGTTGCTATGACATTGTTTAGAAAAAATGGAGTGTGACACTTGTAGACAGCTATGAGCTGCCAAAAAAGGGGTTTCTTACTCAGTATTTTTGCCCTGATTTTTTTCAGTACAAATATTTACACATTCCTCTATCAAGATTCATTCAAGTAAAATGACTTGAGGTATTAAGTCTTGTTTCATGAAGAATTTATCAAATTGAGTTTATTCTTAAAAAAACCCAGCGACAGAATCTAAATTCACTTAATTTAAAATTCTTGTATTCAATCATTATGATTCAACAGAAAAGAATGCCTATAATGGAAGCTTGTTTCCTGTTGACTGAGTGTCTCCTATGCTTTGCAGTCTAGTGCCAATTCTTCTAGTTGATTGATGCTGAACACACAGCAGTTAAACATTAATCGGCGTGTTATCACACTCATTCATGTGTTATCTTGATATGAATGCACAGGGAAGATTCTGTGAAAGCTGTGTGATTCAGTGGTCAGGTCATGAATTCTTTCTTTCTTTATTGCCTGTATATCTAGATTCTTGATACAGTAGCAGAAACTGACCTGGTTTTTCAGTGGTGTCAGGCGAGTCACTGGGACCTGAAATCAAAGAGGAGTTTTAGCACAGTGTGATGATTCTTATCTATTCTATCCTATACTTTGTTTTATTGTTTGGGATTTTGGGTTCAACTCAAACTGTCTCAGAAACGTCTTCAGAATGAAAAAAGTGTTTCTTACCTCCTTGTTTCTCTGCTGAATCTTTCCCATCTGTAGTACCTGTTTAAAATAAGTTTTTTTAAATGTATTTTCAATTGAACATCTTTCTGTATTTAGAATTATTTTTATATACTATTATAGTATTTATTAATATTTTGAATTAACTTACACATTTTTCAGTTATTTTTCATTTTAGTTTTAGTTTAGGTTTTAGTCATTTGTGCTTTTGTCCTTTGTGTTGTTTCTTATATTTCTAGATTTTAGATATTTATTTAGTACTTTAACTTATTTGCCAAAGCAACATTTCTAATTTTCATTTGTTTTAGTTAATTTAATAGGTTTTAGTCAATTTTCATTTGCTTTTCTCATTTTTATTAGGTTTATTTTTTATTTATTTATTTATATTTAGCTTTATTTCAGTTTTAGTAATTTCAGAACTTTAACTTCAACTTACATTTTGTTTCAGTTAGTTACCAAGGCAACATTTCTAATTCTATTATTTAGGTTTTTTAAGTGTAAGCTTTTAATCTAAGTTTTGTTATTTTATATTTTTTTCAGTTTATTTCAATTAACGAAAATGTTTGTAACAGTTTTTAGTTTTTTTATTTTATTTTATATTTCAACAGCTTTAGTTTTAGTTAATGTTAACAAGTTTTTTCATCATTCATATATATATATAGTTTTAGTTACCAATAACAACAGTGCTGTCTGTCTAAACCTTGATGTTAAAATTCAAGTTCATGTCCATGTTATTAGACTTTCTGATTATATAAAATATTTTACAGGTAGACTTCATCATATATCAGCCAGACCAACCTGAGTCTGCATTTCCAGGGACTGGAGTCGGAGGAGCTGAAAAAAGAGAGAAAAACAGATGACCTGCAAAACCTTTTATGGTAAATTCATTTATGCAGAAATTGAGCTCAAATCCATTGCACCTTACCATTGAGGATCCCTAGGGCTGCAGCCGCCTCTGAGATTATAAGTGAGAAAGTGAGAACAAAACACAATCAGTGACATAAACCAGATCATATTCATTTTGAACCAGATACTTTTTGCCCTCTTTATAACTAGCCTGCCTGCCCAGAGGATGTATAGAGCTATAAAATCAATGTGCAAAGCAACTCAAATCATTTGAAAGGATCTGATGATTAATTAGTTCCTACTGAGATTCTCTAACTTTTAATTGCAGACTTTGGCATCTGAGGCATTGCTGAAAATCACTTCTGAAACTCACATGAGATTACTGGGGCCTTTTTCTAAGGAAAAGTAAGACTAATTTCATCCCATTTCTGTTTAGGAGAAAAAAATGAGATTAAAAGGGATTTTTCTGTCTATAATGGCTTTCTTGAACAATTGTAGTAGTACAATGCAGTTCATTGTTCTTACACAGCTCATGCATTCAAAGGCAATAATTAACTTAAAAAGTCATCATTTGCATTATAATTAAGGTTAATGTGTATAACAGCCTCATTCTCACCATCATTATCTGTTCCATCTGTATCAAAACAAAAGACAAGACAGTTAGTTTGTGGTCTAAATGTGCATTGAGCTATAAGAGTCCTATATCTCCTATAGAAGCCCAGGCTAAATGTAGCAGCACAGGTGAACAGAACTCTTTTGTGTTCAGTGAAGGGCTCTGTTTACAGTCTCTGCTTCGTGTTACTTAGAAAGAAGAGCTGGTGCATGTCACTGATAATAATTTAGGGATACTGGGTCATCTGTAATGGTATATATGTGAGCTATATGTGAGAAATGTAATGATGTCAGACATACTGAGGAAGTTTCCTTACCGTTTATTGGTGCAGAAATAGAGACACCCACTAATGCAAAGATCAACGGAACAACCAGCGTCCTATATAACGAGACCAAAAAAGAAAATTCAGAAAAAAAGATACAAAAAAATCTCTAAATTAATCATCTTTTTAAAAAGTTTGTATTTTTATAGACCGTATATTTATTTATTAATATTATTTATTAATGTATACTGATGTATATATATTTATTTATTATAGAATTATTATAATTATTATTTTGGGATATATATATATATATATATATATATATATAGGTAGGTATCTTTTCATTTTGGAATATCCTAGAAAATTGTAATATAATTATTATAATCATTACCAATTTCTATAAACAAATTAGTAAAGAGTTCAACATTTTAATAAATATTTATAGCAACAAAAAAAGTTAACTTATTATTAAAATTGGGGACCATCCTTGATACACAAATATTCTGTTTCCTGTTGGTTAACATAATTTTTTATCACACAATTGAACATTTTGGTAAAAATATGTATATTTAAAATCATTAAATTTATTCTAAACTGTTTTCAGACACTGTAGCTGATCAACTTTCATTTAGGACTAAAGGTCTGGTGCATTATCTTTTGTTCATCGTCAATGACTTCTAAAATCCTTGCTGCAGATATACAGACATTGTACTAGTTTAAAATGGTTAACTACTTCCAGAGTTAGCCTTCGTCAATATCAGTTATTATCCATCGTGTTTGCAGATTTTCTTAATAATCATTGATATGGCATGTGCATGCATTATCGATGTAAAACATTACAGCACAAGAAAATAAAATAAAAGCAGGCATTCAAGCAGGCCAGGATAATGAATGTAAATGAGAGACTCGTACTCACCGGGACAGCATTGCAATAGCACTGAAATGCAGTGTGAGATTGGCGCAGGTGATGCAGGTCTGAAGCCTGAGTGGAGCTGCTCTCAGATCTTTTATACCCTCAGAGGGGGTTGAGCTAAAGACAGAGGCGTTACATGAGAACCTCTAAAGTTCCTCTCATTAGAACAGGGTTATGAACTCAGGCCGTCCTGCTATTGTTTGTGTTTTCAAACAGCCTTTGTAAATAGAGTAGCTTCTGTGTCTCTGTCTCAACCTCCCGCTGCTCCTTTGTGGTTCTCTCCAGCCGTTTGATTTAGTTGATTTGAGGTGTTCTTCTTGGAAAGCAAACAAAGGGTTGCTGGGCAGGACGTGTTCATGGCTTTTGTGTCTGTCTTTATTTTATATGGTACAGAAAGATCTGTTCTGCATCAAATTTCATTTGGATTTCTTTAAGGTACTACTTTGTGTGAACAACCTGGTTATACGTCAGAGATGATCGGCTGTTGTTGAGTTGCCAGGGTGTTGCAGTGGGGTTTCTAGGGTCCAGCTAGGATACTTTAGTGAAAACCTTTAACAAGTTACAAAACTTGCAAACAACACAAAATCATAGCCATGTGACTTGTGTTTTCTTTGGTTAATTGTGTGTGTGTGTGTGTGTGTGTGTGTGTGTGTTTTAAGTGATATATTTTTATTAGTGATCTTTGCTATTTGTGTATTATGCATTTTTTGTTTTATTTTTTATTTATTTGTTTGCTTACATTGTAAGGTAATCTTAAATTATTAAAACATACATTTATTCTGCAATTTATTGTTGTTGTTATTATTATTATTATTATTTATTTAGTCTGTTTGGTAATCTTAATTTAACTGATTAATACATACATTATTTGTTTGTTTTTATTTTCTTGCTTGCTTAAGTAGTCTGCAAGGAAATCTTAATATTCATATTATTAATAAGCAATTTTTTATTTACTGTGCAGTTTTATTTATTTTTACTATGCAGTAATTATTTATTTATGTATTTATTCATTCATTCATTTATTAATGTATTTGCTTGCGTAAGGTAATCTTAATTTAAATTATTAATAAGCAATTTTTTATTTACTATGAGGTTTATTTATTTGCTTACATAGTAAGGTAATCTTAAATTATACATTTTTTATTTACTATGTAGTTTATTATTATTATTTTTGTTATTTATTTGTTTGTTTATTTATTTGATTGCTTATTCTGTAAGGCAGTCTTATTTTTGTGGCATTTTAAATTTCTATATATGTTTTTAATAGAATTACTTGTTTGTTTATACTTCAATTTAACCATTCACCAATCTACGTTAGATTAAGGTGAGGAGTCTTGAATGACATGTATTGTCTTAATGTGGTTTTGTAAACAGAAATAAGCTGAGAACAAGTCATCAGAGAGTATTTACTGTTGGTATGGCCTGGAAAAGCTTGAGTTTCTCCGTGATGTCTGCTGTGCTGAGAACTGCTGTTCTGCACACAAAGCCTCTTTGTTTTTCCATTGAGAAATTTATTGAGCTTAAAAAACATCCTTGTTGAGCAGTAGAGCACATATTCCCGTTAAAGGTTAATCATTCGTTTTTTTTCTTCACACATCCATTCATATTCAACAAGCCGTTGATGCATCAAAGCAGCTTCATGTGTGTTTTCATATGCAAACGATCAGGATGATCAGTTCCGTTTTAGTACTGGATGTAAATGAGGTTTTAAAGAGGTTTAGGAAATGAGTGAATTGCACAGGCGCTAAATGTTTCTCTGTAGGTTCCCGTGGCCTTTCTAAAGGATGGCGGGGTTTCCCTGCTGCTCTTCTGAGACAAGCGTGCTTCTTCAGAAAGTGTGAGAGCGGCACAGCCTTCAGACGGGTGGTTACGACATCAGTACTGGCTAAATTGTGAAACTTGACTTTTTGGAACAAACCACCCATTTGAAGTGCTAACTTGAGCACTTTTATCCATGGAATCAACGTAAAGCCATGAAGCATCATGGGAAACTCCATCACACACTGATAATCCAGCAGATCTCGAGATGATGTTCCCCTGACAGCCTTGAATCACATCATTTGTGTCAGTTCTTGACTTTAATCGTTTATTCATTTCACAAGTTCGCCTGCCCATCCAGTCCTGATGGTTAATGGGAAACGAACTTGGCTTGCTGTTTTTAATGGAGGCTCAGCTTGAGGAGGAGATGGGGATGTGGAGGGATTTTATTTATTTATTTATTTAGTCATTTAGCAGACGCTTTTATCCAAAGCGACTTACAAATGAGGACAATAAAAGCAGTCAAAACTAACAAAAGAGCAACAATATATAAGTGCAAATGACAAGTCTCGGTTAGCCTAACACAGTACACGTAGCAAGGTGTATATGTGTGTATATATATATATATATATATATATAATACACACACACACATATACACACATACACACAAAGAAGAACAAGTAGATAGAATAGAAAAAATAGAAAGCTAGTGTTTGTTTGATTTTTGTTGTACCAGGGATGCCGGAAGAATTGACGCTGGGACGATGCAAAGAGAGCTGCTTTAGGCTCGTAATGATGATTGACAGGACTGAATGATTAGGCTCCTCCTGAACCTACGCTTGGAACTTCATTAAAAATAATTAGTATTAGTTAGTGTAGTGTTAGTATTAGTTAGTGTAAATTTTCCACTTTCCTTTCTTCCTCTCTTCCTTCTGTTTCCACTCACTTTTTTCTACCTCACTTCATTTTTTCTTCCCTCTTTTCTTTTTCTTTCTTTCTTTCTTTCTTTCTTGCTTTCTTGCTCTTGCTTGTTCTCTCCTATTTTTACCTCCCTTCATTTTTACTTCTCTTTTCCTTCCTTCCTTCCTTCCTTTCTTCTTTTTATGTTCTGTTTGGTTTGTGAATATTTTTCTCTTCATTTTCCATCCTCCCTTTATTTTTTCTTCCTTCTATTTTCCTCCTTTTCTTCAATTTCTTCCTTCTTTTTTAATGTTCGTCCTTCCTTCCTTCCTTCCTTCCTTCCTTCCTTCTGTATTCCTCTATTCCTTCCTCTTTTCCTTTCCTCCTCCCTTTATTGTTTCTTTCTTCCTTTCTTCATTTTTCCTGTTTTTACTCCCTTCTTTCTTCCTCCCCTTTTTTCCTCCCTTCATTTTTCTGTTACATTTTCCTTCTTTCCTTTCTTCATTTCTCTTCTTTTCCCTTTTTCTTCCTTCATTTTTCTTCTTTCCCTTTTTCTTCCTTTCTTCATTTATTTTCTCTTTCTTTCTTTCTTTCCCCTCCCTTCTTCCTCCTTTCATTTTACCCTCCTTCCATTTTCCTTTCTTGCTTTTGTGTTCCTTTGATTTTCTTTCCTTGTTTCATTCATTCTTTTGGATTTATCTGTCATTTAACTTTCAATGGCTTTCTTTTGTACTTCACTTTTTTATTTATTCCTTCTATTCTTCCATTCTTTTGGATTTATCTGTCATTTAACTCTCAATGGCTTTCTTTTGTCCTTCACTTTTTAATTGATTCCTTCTATTCTTCCATTCTTTTGGATTTATCTGTCATTTAACTCTCAATGGCTTTCTTTTGTCCTTCACTTTTTAATTTATTCCTTCTATTCTTCCATCTTTCCTTCATCTGCCCATCCTTTCTCCCTTCATAGTTTTTTCCATTCCTTCTTTTCCTCTTTCATCCATCCATCTATCCAGTTGGTGTGTTAGTGATGCTGTGGCCTCTCTGTAGATCTGGTAATTGAAAGGTTGTAGGAAACATTATGTCCTTGATCAAGGCACTTGATCACTTGATTGTCCCATGCAATTTAGATATGAGCACTAAATAATGTAACAATTTTATTCTATAATTGAACTGATTTAAACGTGATGTTCCTATCATTGACCTGCACTCGTCCTCGTCTCCTTCTGCTCTCTCCCTCCATCTCGTTAAGATCTCATGACCAGTGATCCAGGACGAATGTGAGAACAGCACGTCTAAGCAAATGACCCGGTGACCTGTTAAATACTCTCACAGGGTCCTGTAAAACTCAAATGAGCCTATTGTGACCATCGCTGACTGTGCCTGCCTGCCACTTCTCTTCCTGACTTTTGCATTTTTGCTTTAAATCTACAGAAATGCCATTGTTTTTCCATTTAAACAATATGCAGGATATCTTTTGTTTGGTGCTTTCTGATCGATAAAAGGGTGATGAGAAGTCTGAAAAGAGAGACTTTATTGTACAATAATGGCACAGTAGTTTTAGTTATGTCACTTTTCCCAGAACCTTCACTAAGAGACACAGTTTTCCTCACAAACACAGGCTACAGAAGGTCAGTTAAAGATGCAGGACTCAGTAAGGTCCCGTGGCATTGTGTGAGCTTTAAATTTATGTGACATTTCTGTGGACAACGGCCGGTGATCATTGAAATTCTGTGTTGGTCTCCTAAAATCCAACCACTAGCTTTTAAATGCTGCTGTTTTTACTCGGCAAACAAAGACAAGGACAACTATGCTAATTTCTTAATTTGTTGACTTTAATCACCGTCTGAAGGACTAGATTTCCTTCACATTTTTTTTTTGTGATTAAAATGTATTTTGATTATAAAGTAGCAGGTATGCATATTTATGCATATAATGCAAAAAACAACATTTAATACAAACTATATACAGTTGCCAAAGCCTTATAGAACTAATACAAAATAAAAATAAAAAACAATAATTTCTTCTTCTTCTTCTTCTTCTTATTATTATTATACAAATTCCAATAAAAATAAAATAAAAATAAATGCATTTGAATAATCAAATACGTCTGCTTTATTACAAGAAATAAAATGTATGTGTGTGTGTATATATTTTCCTGTAAAAGGTCAAAATAAATAAATAAATGCATTCTATGCATATAATACAATAAACACAAACTATTTGTCTTAAATGAAAGTATGAAATAATATGTAAAAAATTTATAAAAATACATTTGTGAATAAATGTAATTTAAACAACAACAACAACAATAGTAGTAGTAATAATAATAACCAGAGCTTCTTTTTTATTGTTTAATTATTTCCATAAGTTTATTGCATATTGTTAATTTGAAATAATTGGTATATCATATAATCATGCATGAACATCCCATTTGACATCACGTTTGTCTCATGTTATATATTACATAATGCAAATGTAATTGTATTGTACTGTATATTTGCTCATGATTCTGTAGGGTGTTGCTAAGGTCTTTTGGATGGTTGCTAGGTGTTTTCTTTCTGTATTGGCTCATGTATGACTTTAGGTTATCCTTCATTGTTTATGACATTTTCTCACCTGTTTTAATGTCCAGTAGGTGAAAAAAGATGCGTCTGATTACTTAAAATGTGTGTGAAGAGGTGTGCTGTTGTTTTATTATTTCATTCTGTGATTCCGAGGTGGTTTAGGGTTTCTGTTATGTTTAGATGTGTACAGTGTGTGATTTTCAGGTCTTCCCGAGCCACTCTTCCATTTGAGAGGGAGTCAATGGTAACAGCATCTGAAATGTAAGAATGTATCTCGGCTCTGCTCAGTAAAAAGGCTGTTTGTGCTAAAGTTCTCTGACAAATCCATCTCTCCGTGACGTCCATTGAGCCGACAGCACAGTCTCCAGCCCATGATAGGGACGTTATCCAAGACACTTCTGTAAAATGAGACATGTTTATAACAGTTTGCCCTACTCCAAATCCAGTCTCAGTGGAATTATTACCATCATTTGGAATTATGCATGGGAATTATGGAATTCTACCATCATAAAACAAAGATTAGATCTCTTAGAAAAACACCTAAACTGTTATGATTCCCAATAAGACATCAAAAAGATTTTAAAGCACACTTTTGTGGTTGTTTAAATGTATTGTGATGCATGCATTTAATTGTATTTGTTTTATTTTACTAATATTAATATTATTCGTATTATTATAATAAGAAGAATTAAAAGCACATTTTTGTGATTATTCAATTGCATAATATAATTATTATTATATGACCTATTTTTCATTTGTTCTCTAAGGCTTTGGCAATTTTATTTTATTTGCGTTAAAGGTCCCCTGAAATGCTTAGAAACATGTTGACGTCATTTTAACTGAAACAGGAAGACAGGGCGGGACATATCAAGCAGCCCCGCCCCTTTTCACAGCAGGTCCAGGCCAGTGTTGCCAGGTCCGCGGTTTTCCCGCGGAATTGGGCTACTTTGACACTGTTGCTGGGTGGTTGATAATAATGTGATAAATAACACATTAATAACCCCAATAATGTGATAAATAACCCTGGAATGCAAATTTTACCAGGGGAAGTCCGCCAAAAAAAAAAACAACAACAAAAAAAAAAACGTGTATTTTACCCCAAGGAATGCGATTGGGCTAGTTTTGAGTAGCAATTGGGCGGGTTTAGTTACAGTGTTGCCAATTTAGCGACTTTGTCACTAGATTTAGCGACTTTTTTTTTCCAAAAAAGCGACTAGCGACAAATCTAGCGACTTCTTGGACAAACCTTAGCGAGTCTCTGTGATCGCTGGTACTGACGCAACGGCGCAAGGTCAGCGCGCACACACCTCTCTTTCTCTGCGTCTGCTCTGTACAGCAAGCGGCTGAGAGGAGCAGCGCCTTAAGTTAAAATAGATATTATGTTGCTTCTCTAATTTTACATGCAAATATAGCCGAAATCACAGCACAGGAATTGTCTGTGTCTTGTCTTTTCTTATGTGCGTTTCATTTAATCAGATGATGGCTCAAATATAAAGCAGGATTTTTGTGCAGATTAAGGTCTTGGAAGGGAGAGCTGGTTGTGTAGTCTTAAAGGGCCGCATTTCAGTCACTATTACATATTTATTCTGTGGTCTGACAACAGAAACAGTAATATATATATATATATAAATGAAAACAGTTTTATTGAGAATTTGGCTGCATTAAAATACAGTATGTGAGCACAGAGAGACAAAACAAATGTAAAAGGCAACAGACGCGCTGACGTCATGAATATGCTAATTAGTGTATGACGTCATCTGGCGACATTTAGCGACCTTTCAAACTGGCTTTAGTTACTTTCTATTGAAAGAAGTTGGCAACACTGATTCTCGCTGTAGTATTGTTGCTGCCGCCATGTCGTGAAGATGCTGTGTTTCATTGTGAAAGCGAAACTACTTTGTTTGGCCTTCCAAAAGCGGACGATATCCGCTTCGTCATGCCTGGAGCTGATCTGTGCTGGTCGCTGAGGAAATCTAGGCC